TACGGATTTGTATAGGATGGTTTGGATAGGGATGATCCTGCCTCAGGCAGAGGGTTGGACGAGATGACCTCTGGAGGTCCCTTCCAGCCCTACTTCTCTATAACTTTATGATTCCGTTTCATCATGAGCCTCAGGTTCCCAAAGCTAATCTGCTTACATAATGACCTGGTTTACTCTATCATATCTGAGTCTAATTGCTATATAACTCTGCTTGCATTTTTGTAATGCCTTCCATCTAAGAATGTCAAAGTTCTTTACAGACCCTAATTAACTTAGTTCCTCTGTGATAAGTAAGTATTATGATTTCAGTATTATAGATTGGGAAAAGTGGAGCACAGATAAAAAGTTACATGACTTTCATTAGGGCACATAGAACAACTCTATAAATGGGAGAGAACTATTGAACAGTTATCAGTAATGGGCCACTCTTGACCCAGTACAGTAGATGGTTAATTATTGTTGTAGCTGTGTATAAAATACCTTTTCAGCACCATTACATAAAGTATAATTAGCATTAGTTGTCATAAATATATCTTTCTTTTTTTTGGAGCTAGAACTGAAGTCTATGGAATAGGTAACTGCAGACCTTGGATATCTTCACTCTGAAGAATGTGCCTAAACAAGTGAACCAGTGATTCTCAACCAAGGTGCCATACAATCCTTTTAAGGTACCACAGAATATTAGTATGTTTGGTGTGCAAACACCTACATATGATTCATAAGAGACATCAAAAGAAACAATAAAAATGCCTTTAAGTACATTAGAAGCCAAAAATATGCCAGGGAGTCATTTGGGCCTTTGGATGATCAAAATGTAAAAGGGGTGCTAAAGGATGACAGAGCCATTGATGAGAAACTAAACACATTCTTTGCATCTGTCTTCACTGTGGAAGATGTTAGAGAGATTCCCTGACCAGATCCACTCCTCTCTAGGGACAAGTCAGTGGAGCTGACTTCAGCTCTCTTGGCTACTCGCAGATGTAGTCTTGGGTCCCTGACCCTGTCTCCACCTCTCCCAGGAGCTGGGCCCCTGGCCCTGACTCTGTCCTTCTCTGGGCTAAAGGTCCCTGACTGTGTCAGTGGCCCCCTCAGCCTTTAACCCCTACCCCTGGGAGCTCCCTCAGGCAGTGAGGTCTACAGCTGCCCCTGCGGCACTCTGCATGGGGCTGAGCTCCACCTGCTCCTGCCCAGGGTGGCCTGCACCATGCTCCTGCCCAGGGTTTGATTTACACTCTGACTCTTGATGGGGTCTGCAGTGGTGGCAGCCGTAAGCTGGAAGGAGCAGCCGCCACTGCCTGAGCTGCTTAGAAAGGTGCAGGGCAGGCTGGGAACTGTCATCTCTTATGGGGGAGCTTATGGGGGCCTCTCATCTCTTATGAGGGGGCTCTCATCTCTTATAGGAACCTGGGAGGGAGGGTGGAACCTTTTTTGTTCAATCCAAAAGTAAAAATTTTGAATAACTGTTTACTTTTGAATAATTGATTATTGGTAAATTTTAAAACAAGATGTCATTAAAAACATGTTCAGTTATTTGTCAGCCAAAACAATTTGACAAAACATACATTAATTTGAAAATCATTTTGATGGACCTAAACAATATATTAAAAAAATGATACTTTGACTGAAAAAAATTACTTATTCACTAGTTGTTCTTTTGCTTTAAGCTTTGACTACATTAGTAGATCATGCAAACTGCAGAATAATGGCTTTTTTGACAGATGAATCACTCAATGACTGGAAACAATTCTTCTGGAAAAAATGAGGCATTGTTCTGTATAAATATAATCAACCATGTACGGTAAGAGAGAGGCGTGCTTCACAAAAAACAGCAAACAAAAATACCCATTTAGGAACAGTACTGTGAATTCAAGAACTTAGAAAACATTAAAGCTGTTTTATATTACAGAAAATGTGTAACCAGCTAGCTCTTTTGAAGAAGCAGTTCCTTAGGCTACAAGAAGTCCTACTGCCTAAACGTCCCTAAACATTGTTTTTTTCTGGTTAGCAAGTATTGGACGGTCCCAGATGAGTGCACAAATGAACAGCTTTGTTATTCTATTTTATTTTACAGTAAAACCTCTTTGTATTTCAGAAATGTGTAATTTTATTATAATATTCAACAACATTTGATTTCGTTTTAAATTACAGGATTGCAAACACCAAGCATGACCAACTTTACTTGTTTTATCATTATTTACACTGTGCATTTTTTACAGCTTACTTACTATATAGCAAATTATGAAAAATTAACTTAATTTTTTTTGCATAAGATTGAAAAATGTGAAGTATCTTCAAAGCTGTGTGATTATAGCTCTGCAGTCCAGGCTGGCATCTTTTTTGAAGGCTGATTCTTACAGTACAGCTTCAACATCAAAAGCATTAAAACATCACTCCTATCTACTCATTCATTCTAGGTTTCCATTCAAAATTATCCATCCTATTTTTCAAAACTCCCTACGAATTTGCTACAAGTGATTCTCCAGGCTTGACCAAATTCCCTTCTGGAATAAGAGGGCACAACTTAATTCCTCTAATTTCTAGAAGGACGATTTGCAAATCTTCCTCTGCTGGTTAGCGTCTTTCTCTCTATTCGAACTCATACATCGAAGTGCTTCTGAGGCATCGCTTCTTGAATATTTGGCTGTCAGTGTAATATGCCAAAATCTGAGCTACTCATCTCTGTTCCATAAGCCTTAGCCATCTTTCATTCTCCATAGCTATCAACAGTTTTACCATTTTTCCTGCCTAATGAGCCTTCTTCAAGGTACAGGTGTTCTAAACTTTTATTATAACACTAGCTAATTGCCCGTCAAGAAAGAGGGATTTTAGAGTGTTTACATGCCCCGCCTCCTCCTCACCCTTCAGGGCCAGCCATGTAAAGACTCCTTCTGCTGTCACTGCCTCCTCCTCCAGCCTCTGCTGCAGGGGCTCCCTCCTTCTGCCCAGTTCCCTTCCCCTCCTTTTCTCCCCGCCACCTCCCCTTCCCTGCCCACCACCGTGACCCCCTGCTGCTTCCCTTCCTTCCTTCCTTTTCCTTCCTTCCCTGCTGCCTGGCCCTAACAACAGCCACCACCATGACCCCCCCTTCACCTCCCCCCGCCTGTCCAGGCCCACACAACCTCCCTCCCTCCCCACCCTGTTGGCTGTTGTTGGGGCCCCCTTCCCATTCCCATCCCTCCCTTCCTCCCTCTCTGCCACCTGGCCCCAGGAGCCACCACCGTAACCCCCATCTTCACCTCCCTCAGCTCCGCTCCCCTCCCTTCCTCCCTGCCGACTGTTCTGGGGGGCGTCAGGGATGGGCGATGGCGGGGGCGGGGTGCCGCCACCATCAACCTCACTTTGCCCTCAGGCAGGGAGGCATGGGGAAGCTTTCCTGCTAGGGGGCATGTTTGCCACTACCACAAACTTTGCTGGCAGTAACTCAAACATGGGCCTGCGCAGCCAATCGCTGCCTCCCCTCTCAGTGGTACAAGCGGTGCATGCAGGAATGGGGCACAGGAGTTCATAGCTGTTTCAGTGTTTGTAATTAAAGTAAAGCAAATTGCTTCAAGTCCTTTTCTCTTTTTCTGTTTCTAGTGAGGGATCACATTTTCTAGGGCAGGTGCTGTGTGAGGTGGGATCCTCCCCATAAGGGAACGTGCAGGAGTCACACTAGCATGAAGTAAAAGAGGGGGACCACAGGGGAATTATAAAAGGACCTCTTGAATGCATGGGTGGATCTAGGATTTTGAAAAGGGGGGTGCAGGTGGAGGGTGCAGGATTTTGAAGCAGCAGGGTACAACATCCCGTATAACACAAAACACATTGTTTCTTAAGTGAAAAGGCAGCTAGAAGATCTACTAATATGCCAGAGGCCCAGTGCTGTATAAGATCGAAGCAAAAATATAACTTTATTGGAACGTATACTCATTTACTAGGTTATAAACTTAAAAAAACACAACAAACTTGCCAAAAGAGCCCCAAGATATTGTTGTATGAGCCCTGCAGCCACTAGAGCTCAGCCTACATCTGTCCTACAACAAAGTCTGGCCTTCTTGAGTGTCCTGACAGCGCACCCAGCCCTTCACGGTCAGTCGTGGCTGCCCCTGGGTTCACGTCCACCTCGGCCAAAGTTTGCAGCTAGAGTTGGGAGCAGGATGCAGCGCGGGGGGACCCGAGAGGCTTGACCAGGAGCGGTTAGTGGGCACGGCGGGGGGCGGGGCTAGGGTTCTGCAAAGGGTGGGTGCGGAGGGCGAGGTGCGTCGTCTCCTCTAATCCGACACATTTTTCTTCAGGGAAACTGCCCCTGGGTTCACGTCCACCTCGGCCAAAGTTTGCAGCTAGAGTTGGGAGCAGGATGCAGCGCGGGGGGACCCGAGAGGCTTGACCAGGAGCGGTTAGTGGGCACGGCGGGGGGCGGGGCTAGGGTTCTGCAAAGGGTGGGTGCGGAGGGCGAGGTGCGTCGTCTCCTCTAATCCGACACATTTTTCTTCAGGGAAAAGGATCACGGCGCCCCGGCTGTCATGCAACACGGAAGCCGACACAAGTTGTGCGGCCATGAGCTCGCAGCCCGAGCGGCGCCGGCCTCCCGCCGCTGGGGGCGCTGGGTGGGCGG